TAAAAGGACTGCGAAACAAAAATCCGTCCGGTAGGAGGCACAATAGGCTGCAAAAAATTGCTCCAAATCAGCCTAACTCGTCGCATACAAACCCCCAGATTGGAGTGAAATAATTTTCATTCAACAAATCGACTAGTAGGCTCGACGCACAAGGTTTTCCAGTTCTCTGATTCAACATCGCTTCTGCGAGGACAAGAATAGTAGATCACAACTGACAAACGTATCACTGTATCACTTGAAGATGGACAGCTTTCGTGCTCTACCAGTATGAGTGTGGTAAAAAGAAATTCGGGCATTTCAAACTGAAAGGTGATAAAAACAGGTTCATACATGTGTGTCGAGTCGGCTCAGCACACTGGAAAGGGCAAGATTCAATAGGCACAATGTGGGTGATCAGTTTTGTTTAAAATCAAACATGCTTTTTTGTGGCCCATTAGGAGCACAGTTCTCAATGAACAAATGAGGCCAACTCAGACTCACTTGAATAAAACAGGACGATCTTGAAGTTCGGACATGGCTTTACGAAGCGTTGCGCCGATTTCGGGAGTATCTTGTGTTCGCATACGGCATTCATCTGGATAACATTAGTGAAAACACCCGCGTGAAACTGATTGATATACCGCTTACTTTGAGTCCACTGGTACAAACGCTGGTATGCTGATTCCATAGTGGATCGTGTGGAATCCAACATGTTGAACCTGTGTTCGGATAAACAGTTGCTAGACCGAGACTGCACGTGTAGAAGAAACATACCCCAAATTTTGTTCACCGGAACGAATCATATCTTTACAATTCTTCTCAACCTGATGCGCACGTTCCAAACTTCGGAAAAAATTCGCATCAATCGGTTGGTTCGCTGAGCAAAGTAATTCAGCATCCTCGGTAGAGATCTGAAACGTGTCATGCAAACATTCCAGCACCGAGAGTTTCAATTCGCCTTTCACGCTATGAGGCGAGAATAAGTCAACAAGGGAGGATTATATGTACCTCTGTGCCTGTAGATCTGCCGCCTCATTGATAAGATCGTCTGTCCTAGATTTCACGCCCTATTCAACAGCATTGATGCCATAGAGTTTAGCGAGCAAACCTACCACAAGTTGTTGGTTCACATCCTGACACGATTTTAGCATCTGTTTGATATCGGAATCCAACTCTTCCACACGCTACAAATCAGTCAGCGAGGTGCAAACAAAAGGAAAATAAAACTACCTCCTTTACCAAGGTGAACGCCTTGAGAAAATCCTCGTACAACTCCAACTGATGCTTTTCCAAATCGACGCGTAGATTCCGACGTGTGCGAATGTTGTTCGCGGGTAGGATATTGGAGATAGCTTTCAGACCGTCGAATAATTCCTGGATAAACGATTGTCAGACCGGTGCTGCGGCTTACTGTGTTTTCTTCAATATCTGTGTTGAGAATTTTGTGAATTTTATTGAGCAACGGATTTTTCTCAAGTTGTGTTCCAGTTGCCATTTTGCGAACTGTATTAAACAAGAATATATAAAAAGAGAATTCAATTAACGAATACAACAAACGTTCTTGCTAATTTCCTCTACTGAAGGAATCGTCGCACAGTCAAAGTTCTGATCAAAAATTGAATATCACGGAAGAAATTGTATCGCTACGACGACAAACGATCTACACGGGAAATTTGTAGCGATGATATTTCAATTACCTTTTGAGGACCTTTTTCCAAATTACTCGACTCCAATACGAAACCGAAACTATGCACGGTGATTCTGTCCCGGAAAATGGTTTGCTGCAGGCTATTGTTGTCTCGAAATGACTACAAGATTATATAGAGGTTGCTGATCTTAGCTCGAGGATAGTTCCGGGGAAAGAGCCCAGGAGAAGAGTTTTAGTGGAAATAATACTAATAATAATATTACGGGATCAGTTCCAGTTTGAACAACCATTAACCATGCACTTTTGTGCCCCAGTTTTGGTTGCCCGTTTGGATGAACAGTAGAAAAAAGACAGGNAATTGAGAAGATGCACGAACGTCACTGTTTATCACACTCAGTGATACCACACAGTGTCTTGAACTATCGGTTACGACCATCCCGCGGTCCCTAGTCAGGGAGCCTAACGGGATTTATGTGACCAAGTCTCCTGCTTAGGGTTTTCATACTTTCGTGCAAGTTCTTAGCTTGACCATAGGATCAACCAAAACCAACCCCGATAAAGTAATTCCTGGAGAAGAAAAAGTCACATAACAGTTTTTATCATACGATTCAGCGAAAGAAGAGGAGTGAGCCCGCAGTATCTGGCGAATCACATAGGTGTAATGAACCGAGCGACCGTTAAGCTGTCTACTAAACACGAAACAGAACCCAATGCTATGAGATGAATCTGTTGTTCCAAAGAACTAATAGGGAATCCGAATTGTAAAACCGATACGAGTGAAGTGAGGTCATGTAAACTGAAAGCTGGTTCAACTTATCCCAATGGCATATGCTGTCAATGAATAATAAGCTCAGTCGGCCAATGATGAGAGACACAACAACTGTGAGTGAAAAAAGAAGTTCATCAAAATGCTTAAAACCCGACACTTGTGTATCAATGTAAATGTCAGGTGGAACAAACAACTCAATATTGCGCTTCAGAGTCAGTGAAACTGTAGTTAGCTTGGCCGAGTAGTTAATCCCAGTTGGGTTCTATGTGACCACCCAACCAGTTTATTAGGCGACTTCCTTCTTGATGCAGACAAGTCGACTGTAGGTATGAGCCCGCAAAGATGCTTAGGAATGTAGTGGCACCAAAAATGTCCAGTGGAAGCACCTCTGAAACTCACCAAGATGAGTGTAACCTGTGGTACGGGTTTATTTAAGGGCAAGCTCAGTTGGTGCACGTCGTGATGCCTTCTTCGCACACCGGTCAATTTTTTGTTTCAGCGATCGCTTTTGAAGTAAAAGCTCGTTGAATACTGCTATCATCGCTGTTAACCCGAGACTGATTATTCCGTGAAGAAATGCCAACGTATAAATAGTTAACCACTCAAGTGACTACTATTCCATCCTCGTCCTGATGATGCAACCGGTAACGGATAGCGCCATTTGCCGTAGCCTACGAAATCCGGAATGAACGGAAACAACGAAAATAAGAGTTCAGTGTTACTCAGACGAAGCAAAGCCTCCCGCCACTGCCTTGTCTACAACTCATCCATTCCATTGTCTCAAGGAAGAAGGGATCAAACGCTTTTGGTAAGCGGATTTCGTTATTGTCACTCAAGGTTAAAAATAAGAAACCAGTGGAAGTTGGACAAAGAAGTCAGTGGAATTCCGTTGGGATTTTAGAGGTACATAAACTCCTTTGAATTTAGAAATCTTTCAGCAGGAGCATTTTTCATTGGTTCACAAGTGTGCCACTCGGTGGCTTCATCTGCCATATGTTCTTTAACCATATTTAACACCCCAATCATTGAGAAGAAAACTATAGTTGAGACATAAATAACCCTTGTATACTGGAAACGAAGATGATTATCAAGAAAACTCATTCACTCCGCTCAATCAATAGCATATGAAAAAACTTCAAGTTTCATAAACAGAATTTATTGAAACAAGAGGGATGCACAGGAAGTTTGCGTGCAATAGATAAGCAAAAATAATAAATCCAGAAGTATCTATCTGATGGGGAGGAAACAGGATGATGACTTTTAATTCCACCGAAAAAATCAAGCGAAAGGACTGTCAACTCGTTCTTCCCATAATGTTTTTCCGGAGCAAGCACAAACTTTCTTTCTGTTCTGAGACAAAATGGCTGATCTTGCGATTACACCACTAGCCAATCTGAAAAATAAATGTGGGAAAACCACAGAAATACAGAGACTCACTTAAGTTAAGCTTTTAAGCGAAAAGTATTAGCAAAGAAAGGAACACAGATGAGTGCTTACCTGGACTCAGTCAAAGTATCGTGCAGAACAACGGATCGTCCAATCAAGTCGTGAAGTTTAAGACCCGACTTTTCCACTATCAGATTTGCTCGGCCTTCGTCGTCTGCTACGATGTTTCCCAGATTGCCATTGGTGAACTATGGGAATAGGATAATGAACCGAGATCAGTTTGGTTATGACTTCGACTTCAAAGGGTGAGTAAATGGAACACAGCAATGACAAAGGAAAGGAACTCACTTCATTGGTGAAAATATCACCACAAGAATAACTGCTTGATGAGAGGTCACCACATTTATGAATGGCCAAGTTAACACTTTGGTTCTGTTTTAATCCACTAATTGTTGCATCCACAAGAATATACGCATCTGTAGGTTGAAACAAGCGGCAAACACCGTAAACAGACTCGCCCGATGTGAGTGGAGCAACTCCTGATCCGAAATCACACCCTTGGAACGTGAATGACAGTGGAGGGTATCAGACTGCAATGGGGAAATAGTACCTTGCATGCATTTTGCCTGTGATGAAACACCTCTAAACAGTACGGAAAATCCAGCTGCATCCATCAGAGTAATCAACTTTGACACAGGTACGGTACTGTTTACAATAAGTGTTTCGCTACTGCGGTCGATTTCTCTAATTTCCACTCCTTGATAAGGCATACTTTATGGCATGAGTACAGGGCTTACCATTTTGCGCACTCAACAACTTCCTCAAATGTTCGGGTTCATGGTTATCAACAAACTTTACGGCGAATTCAATCAACTAGCCATTTACGATAACTGCCTAATGGTTAAACCCACCATGTTAGCAGAATCTCAAACAACCACGTCAGATAAAATAACATCGGCTGCAAATTAACGAAAGCGGTTTGTATTAAATAAATGACATTTCTATCCTCATTAAATTACAATTTATAACTCTAATAAAGTATATTCCACACTTCTTTGAGTGCAGATTGTATGTGAAACAAGCCATGTTAAAAAATTAAAAACAAAGAAATGTCTAAAATTGGCCCGTCGTCTGGATATTGCCGGTTTCACATCCGGAGCCTGTGGCTGGTCCAAACCTAATTCATGATTCAGTGGGCAATAGTTGCCCATTTGAGTCACGGGTTGACAAGTCTGTTGATAGGAGTGAGTTGAACGGAATATTCTACCCATCGTTCAAGACGGCGTTACTGACTGAATCGGTGTACCGTCAGGCTCCCTAATTGCCTCACGTCTACTTTCCCTGGACCCGCAATCTTATAATTAGACGGAAATTAGTGCGATTATTACCGATGACCGCAGCCTCTTCCATCTCTTTACACTGACCTACCCACCACTTATCGTGGTCATCCCTCAGACTCTTGATGAGCTGAAGTTTCATAGACTTGCGTCATAGTTGGCATCAGAAGGAATGGTTTTGAGGGCATCCAGTAAGACAGTTGAGATCGACGAGATCCACTGTTTGTTTGATCGTGCGTCAGAATCCACCATTGTTTTTATCGACATTTAATAACATCCAGTGTTGAATCCCTTGGTGGTTGACCTAACTTAAAGGTGCTGAGAGTTTCGCGTTGAGGGCCTATTCGCAACCGTTGCTAACAGGGGAGGTCGACACACTCGAGAAAGCCTGCGATAAGAGGGGACAAGCTATTCACAATAGGGATCATTTGATCACGGCGGAATTCTTCAGCGAACAGTTCAGTTGGCCTGGTGCTAGCCAGTTCACCTCGTCTGCAAGTAAAGCTCCGTGGGCAATGACGTCCGATCCTCGGGAAGAAGTATAAGTCCGGTCTTGCATTCAAGCTCTGAAGCGAGGAAAAGCAGCAGGACCGGATGAGCTCCCTCCCATTTTTTTCAAGCTGGGGGCGATAACCTCGTAAGCTCTATTACTATCTTACTGCGCAACATTTGGACGTAAGAGCGCATTCCATCATATTGAGGTGAATCACTGATCATTCTTATTTTTAAGAAAGGATCTCGCAACGATTGCGAAAACCACCACGGGATCAGTTTGATCCTGGTCGTCACCAAATTGCTAGCCTCGGTCATACTTCGACATCTGACGCCTTTAAGAGGGATTAACATCCGTGAACAGCAAGCTAGATTCCGGCCTGGCAGTGAATGTATTGATCAATCTTTTACGTTGCGCCAGGTCCTTGAGCTGCGTTACACCCACCGTCGACCAACAATCGCAGTGTTCCTTGACCGGAAAGGGGCCTTTGACGCAATTCACCGCGAGGCGCTGATGGGTTCCTATCTTTCAAAAGGAATGCCGCAGAAGTACGTTAACTTACTGAAGTCCCTGTACTCACACACCTCTGGCCATGTAGGGGTCTATGATGAACTAAGTAGACAATTCGTCACAAACAGCGGCGTTCCTCAAGGGTGACCTTTCTAACCGTTCCTGTTCGACTCGTCGTAGACAAAATACTGTAGGACGCACTTAGTGATCCCTAAAACTGAGATACTGATTGGGCAGCTAGAGAAAAACTGTGCGATTTGGAGTACGCCGATGGCATCGTTTGTCTGTTCAAATGTACGGAAGATGCGCAAAGCGTACTTGATAGACTAACAAGTGCTGCTGCCCCATTCGGTATGTGTTTTGAAACTTCAAAGTGCAAAGTGATGCTGCAAGATTGTCTTGCCTACTCCCGCTCAGAAAACCAAATGGCCAGGCATTGGTGATGGTGGATTACTTTTCTTATTCAGGTAGTTCCGTGATCAATGACGGTTGCGCATCAAAGGTTATATA